CTTCAACTCCCAGAATTCCCCAGCCAGCGAATGCTGGCTGGGGAATTCTGGGAGTTGAAGTCGGACATCTTCAAGTTGCCAAGGTTGAGAAACACCGATCTATACTAATAGAGCTTTCAGTATGAAACTTATTAAATAATGCATAATTCAGTTGGGAGTTCAAGTTCTTCATCATACTTTCTGTTTCCATTTGCTGTTTTTTGTTTCTGAAATAATTTATGCAGAATAGTCTTATTTTTACTAGCAGGCAAATTACTGAAATAATATTAACTGAATTTATTTGATTTGGGTGTTGCACAATCCAAAGCGAGCAGATCACAATATGGCAGAGAGAGTAAAAGGTAATATAATTCCAAAAGCCAAAAGAAATATAACATCGAGGTGTCAAGACTACAAATCTGTTAAGATATCAAATAAATAAAGATGCATATTTTAAGATTTTGTTTTAATCATCATTATCACTGTTTTATTTTTCATACCAACAAACACTTCAGAACATTGCAGGATTGTTTTTGATAGCATTTTCTGTCACACAATAGTTACCTGAACGTATTTGACAAGTTCACAAAACTCGACCGGGTAACAAAGACCTCCTTTAACTTCCCATTAACAAGGATTTAACACATATAGCCTGTAATCAAGAATTCATAAAATTGAATCAAGTTAATGTCCACTGCTTGTGTGAAAATGATTTTATCTAGTCTCCTTTTCAAATCATCCAAATTGGCTACCATTACTACATATTCCGTAGTTTTAAGCATGTCTAAAAAGTTTGGTTCTAAGAGGAAATGTAGAAAAACATTTACTTTTAAGCCTCTGCAAAATAGGATGCTTCAACTCTCCTTGAAGCAGTGGTAGTAGACATTCTTCAGGTGCTGCAAATTAAATATAGCATAGTTCTTGGCTAGAGAATATTCTTCAAAAGCTATAAATCCTCTTTGTAGTGTTTTCCAGCTGTAGCATTTTCCAGGTGTATGGACTTCAAATCCCAGAATTCTACCATTAGCATGCCATTGATAAGAATCCTGGGAATTGAAGTCTACACACTGGAAGTTACCAAAATTGCAAAACAGTTGCTTCAGTGTATAGCCGTGATGGCCAACCTATGACACACGGGCCCGAAGTGGTACGCATAGCCATGTTGCCTGGCACGTGTGCCGTTGCCCATTCCATTTCCGGGTTTCTGGCGCACATGCATGTGTTACGATCAGCTGGTCTTCGTCTGTGTGGCAGTGCCGGAAACTGGAAGACTAGTCATCCATTTTCCGGCATGAACATACACGCCGGCCAGCTGATTATTGCGCGTGCATATGCCAGTAACTGGAAGACTAGTTGGCCAGTGCACATCGGACACCGGAAGTTTATTTTCTGGCACAGAGCCGAGGTGGCGCAGTGGTTAAATGCAGCACTGCAGGCTACTTCAGCTGACTGCAGTTCAGCAATTCGGCTGTTCAAATCCCACTAGGCTCANCATTGTAACATGATTTATATATTGCCAACCTAACCGTTAGAATTATATTCCTAACAAGCATGACTTCATGTAAATTGTCTATTGTTGTAATAATATTAGCCCTTGAGATTTGAAATTTCTCATTTGTAGCAGCAGAAAATCTTAACAAGCAACTGGTTAATAATGCTAAGTTGTTATGTTTTTCACTGGAATTTTCAAATAATGAGGTTATTTTTATTTCGGGAATATTTTCATTTAAGATAGAAGTTAGGCATTGGTTTGTTACTTTCATTGAATTAATCTAGGTTGAGAGCGTTTGTGCTGCCCCAGCAGTATATAGCTAATGTAGGAATTAAGAACTGTCTCCTTTAAGAAACTACCTCATGGGAAATGCAGACTGCATTATGGGAAATGTAGTTCCATGACATGTGATCACATCTCTGTTTATGATTGGCCACGGGGGCATCTTGCCCACTTGCAAAGTTTATAGCCGGGTAGTTCAATTGCTTTTGTGAACCGGAATAGCAGCATTCTACATCTCCACTCAGCATGGGGATAAAATCATCATCTTTTTACACTATGTGATGGGAAAGTTCATGGAAAGTCAGAAGAATCTTAACACTGAACTGTAAGTTTTGTTATTAAGGATGCCTGATAATAAACGTGGTCTGAAAGAGATTCCTAAGCATGGAGTTAACTGGCTGCCCGAGCAGAACCTCATTGCCCGGGGCAGAACAGCGTTTCATATTTTTATTAGGATTTTAATTCATACACCTGCTTTGTGACTGTGAGCTAGAGTGACTGCTGCTGGCTGGAGAATTCTGGGAGTTGAAGTCCACAAGTCTTAAAGTTGCCAAGTTTGGGAACCACTGAATTAGACTCTGCCTAAAATATTCAATTTTGTTTTTATATATGCTACTATATCACATATTCAATATTTTTAATATTTTAATAACCAGGTATAATTGGCTTACTTTGTAGTACAGTCTATATATGTATTTTATTTTATTACACTTTCTAGGAAGGGTCTCTGGGCTTCGGGTAAATGACAAAAAGTTCAAGCATTTCTGTTGGGAGAATTGAATGGATAATTTTAAAAGAAATCCTTTCAAATTATTAAAAGCTGTGATTTTCCTACGTCTTAAAAAAAAAAGCCCAGTATTTT